AAGGTGGAATAAGGAGGAAGAGTGTCAAGGCATTGTGAAGAAGAATTGGGGACGTGGTTTATGGGATCCTATGTATTTAAAGTGGTTGAAAAGTTGAAATGGGTTTGCCGTAGGCTAGAAGGTTGGAGACGGACTAGCAGCAGAAACTCAAAGGTTTGTGCTGAAGCTTTAAAAACTAAGTTACAGCAAGCCTATAAGTCTTCGGATTTTGCTAATGCGAATGTGTAACAAAAGAAGAGTGAATTAAAGTGTTTAATTAAGGAGGAATAGATCTATTGGAGGCTAAAGTCAAGGACTCAGTGGATTTAGGAAGGGGATAAAAATACTAAATTTTTCCATGCTCAAACGGTGAAACGATGTTGATGTAATAAGATATTGGGTCTGGAGGATGCTCAGGGGGCTTGGTGTATTGATCCAAACCAGGTGAATGCGATTGTTGTGAGCTATTTTCAAAACCTTTTTATCACCTACCGTCTGCAAAGGGTGGAAGAGATCACGAATTGCATTAATACTCAAATTTCACAGCGAATGTGACTAGATTAATGCAGCCCATATCAGAGGAGGAGGTAAGGCAAACGGTTTTCCAAATCCCAGCGGATAAGTCCCCTGGCCCTGATGGGTTCACTGGGAGTTTTTACCATGAATATTGGGATTTCGTTGGGAAAGATATGGATGATATGGTGAGAGCGTTTTGGTTCTTTGGAAAACTGTTGAGGAAATCAAATCATACTCATTTTGTTCTAATTCTGAAGGTTCCACAGACTATGTCTCAATTACGGCCGATATCATTATGTAATGTGGTGTACAAGGTGATTGATAAATTATTGACTAATCGTATGAAGATGGCTAAGCCACATCTCATTAGTGCAAATCAATCGACGTTTGTGGCTGGGAGACAGATTCAGGATAATATTTTGGTGGTACACGAGATATTGCATTCTCTTAATCAACAAAGTGACGGTGATGAAGTTTCCCTAGCTATGAAGTTGGATATGGTGAAGGCGTATGATCGAGTGGAATGAAGTTTTCTGTTCGCAATGATGGGTGCTTTGGGCTTTCCACTTGAGCTTTGTCAGCGGGTAACGGAGTGTATTACTACTGTCACGTATAATGTACTAATCAATAGTGCATCCACTGGATTCATTTAACCACAAAGAGAGTTGCGGCAATGAGACCTGATGTCACCATTTATGTTCTTGATTTGTGTCAAGGGATTCTCAACTTTGCTTCGACGTAGGAAGGAGCGAGGTGTATTGCATAGAGTTTGAGTGGTTCCTGGTGGGTTGTCAATATCACATTTGTTCTTTGCCGATGCTGCTATAGTTTTCTGTAAGGCGAAGGAGACTGAGGTTCAGGACGTTATAGAGGTATTAAGATGTTATGCAAAAGCATCTGGGCAAGTGATTAATAAGGAGAAGAGTTCCTTATATTTTGGGGCGAATTGTGGGCGGCAACGGTGGAGGAAAATTGCTCTTTGTACTACAGCTGATTTTGGTTCATCTAAGAAAGTGGTGTTTGAGAGTGTTCGGGAAGCGTTGGAGGGAATGATCAATGAGTAGGCTGAGCAGTTTCTATCGTTAGCAGGAAAAAGGTTCTCATAAAGTAGTGGCCATGACGTTACCAAACTACGCAATGTCGTGTTTTAAGCTTCCAGTGAGCCTCTTAAAGAATTGAAATCTACCATAGCTAAGTTTTGGTGGAGGGGGAATAAAAATAGAGGTGATATGCATTGGATATCTTGGAAGAAAATGAAACGTCAAAAGAGGTTTGGAGGCCTTGGTTTTAGAGACTTTTACATAATTTGGACACTTTGCTTGGCAAAATTCTTAAAGATAAATACTTTCGAGAGAGATCGTTTATGGAAGCTACGTTGGAGAGACACTCCTCCTAGGGATGGAAAAAGATTATTCAAGGGAGAAGGATCTTAGAGAAGGTATGCATTGGCAGGTGGGTGATGGAAGGAGGATCCGTGTAGCCCATAATCCTTGGTTGCCCAAACCTCATACTTATAAAGTGAGATCGAAGCACATTGAAATGCCTGTAAGGTGAATGAGTTAATTGAACCTGTGGATAGAGTGTGGAAGGGTGACTTAATTAGGAGATGTTTTGACAAGGAGGAGTGTAAGCTTATACTTGGGTTGCCAGTCAGTTTTGTGGGATGTGAGGATAGAATCATATGGCATTATGCTAAGAATGGATAATATACGGTGCGTACAGGATATGGAGTTGCCATAGAGATGTAGCAAAATGGCGAGTTTGGTTGGCAGGGGAAAGGGGGTAGTGGTCGCCAGGATATGATTAATCGATGCTAGAATGACATATGGAGACTGGTGGTGCCAAATAAGTTAAAGTTCTTTATATGGTGATGTTGTAATGGCTCTTTAGCTGTGAAAGTTAATCTCATTTAGCGGCGTATGCAAATGGATGATAGGTGTGTGATGTGTAGAGAAGCGGAGGAAACAGAGCACCATTTGTTCTTCGATTGTGAGTTTAGTAGGGTAATGTGGTATGGTTGTTCGCTGCAACTTGACATTGTGGCTTTGAAAGGAAGGGATTTCTGAGAGTATTGGGGGAGACTCTGTGATCAGTTCCGTGATAATGAGAGGCAAGATGAGTTGTTGCTGGAAAGTGTTTTTCTTATGTGGAGAATATGGAAGTGTCGATATGATATGATCTTTAAAAGGGTGTCGGCAAACCCAATGAAGGTGATTAATATAGCCAGACAGCAAGTAGTTGAATTTCGTGCATGGCATGACACGAAAAAGGTTATTACTGGTGGTGTTGCGTCTGGTGGGAATACAAGCTTTGCGGGTCAACAGGTACGGTGGAAGATACCAGTTTTTGGGGTGTTGAAGATTAATTGTGATGGGGCTTGGTGTGGGAAAACTTGCAAGGGTGGCTATGGGTGGGTATTAAGAGACTTTTGTGAGGTTGTTGCAAGCGGCTGGTGGGGAATGTGGCATGTTTTTTAATACTCCAGAGATGGCTGAAGTAGCGACAATTCGTGCGACTTTATAGGCCTGCCTTGAGTTAGGATGCACGGAGGTGGAGGTTGAGTCAGACTCTTAGCTGATTATTCACATGCTTAATGGGGAGTATGTGATTGATGCTACTTTGGAATGTTTTCTTCATGATATTCGGTTCTTGGCATCTCAATTAAGAACGATGACGTTTGCGTTTGTTGAACGGCATGGAAATACTGCTGCACACGCTGTTGCCTCTTATGTAACCTCACGTGGAGGTGCTTTCGGTTGAGATGCTATTGGTTCGGAGTTTTTATTTAATATTTTGGCTGAAGATGTAAACATTACTATTCGAATTTAATAAAGTTTACTCTTTGACAAAAAAAAAAAAAGTATTGTTTCTTACAAGGAATCATTTTTATTATTGAGTATTTACTACGTAATATGTGTAAATCATTTTACTCCTTATTTTTTATTTATGTAAGAAATAAAAAAAATGTATAAATTTTTTCTTTGAAATCTATATTAAGGAGGGTGTAGTCAATTTGGATTTCACAGGAATTAAAAAGATTTTGTTAAGTGATAGATGTCAAAGGATCGTAGAATCCTTACAACTTTCAAATGGATTTTCAAGCATTCTTATGGATTTTGATTAAAGATTTGAATGGATTTTGAGAGATTTCTTGTCATTTAAAGAATTATTTTTTAAATAGAAAATAAAAAAATAAAAAAACTTGAAGAAAAAAAATTTAAGAACTTTACCTAGTTCTCCCAATCCTCCATGTTTTCCCGATGCCCAGTTCTCCCTGACGAATTCCACCCATTAATTTAAAATACCTTGCCATCCAATGTAAAATGCCCAGTTCTCCCAATCCTCCATGTTTTCCAGATGCCAAGTTCTCCTAACCCTTAATTTAAAATGCCCAGCTCTCCCAACACTGTAAATAGGAAAACAATCTCAGTATTAGGAATGAATGCGTAGATTACCTCGTCAGGGAGGGATGCAGTGGATAATTAGCTTGATTTGCCTTTGCGTGTTATACACCTCCAAAAAAAGAGAAAGAATCTCGGTTGCAGAGTGGAGAAAGAAAGAAAACTTGACTGCAGAGTGGAAATTATTACCCTATTCCATTGAAATTATTTGATTTGCCTTTGTCCATTTCATTGAAAAAGGTTGCAGAGTGGATAATTAGCAGGTAAGATCAAATATTTTCAATGAAATGGGAAGAGAGTAAGAAAGAAAGCTCGGTTGTAGAGTGGGGAGAGAGAGAGAGAGAGGAAATCCAAGGGGGTTAGAAAGATATCCTAGGGGTAGACTATGGATTCTTTATAGTCTTTTTTAAGCTTACCATTTCTTCTCAAATCCTACAAAATCATTCATTCAAAGAAATCCTTCAAAATCTATAAATTTTTTAATACATATAGATTTGCATAGACTCAATAAAAATCATTTAAAATCCTAGTTGACTACATCAGAATTCTAAAATCCTTTAAAATTCTTTAGTTGACTACACCTATATTTGACTGGACTCTCTTAAATTCTTTTAAAATCCTAATTAACTACACCTGAATTCTAAAATCTTTTAAAATCTTTAAAATCTATCTAAATTCTCATTTGACTACACCCCTAAATATCTAAAAGTTGAAAATCAAATTGACTACAGAGACTAGTTGATTTGATTACGTTTCCCTACTTGACCTATTTTTAAGTTGTCGTATTTCTAACATCCATGATTCATGGCTTGTCTCGTTTTGATTAGGTAATATTTTCAACTACTTACCCCGGATTGATTCATAGGAAATTAATTAAAAATTAATAAAATGGAATTACTTGTTCACAACTTCACATAGTTGACGTAACAAGGCTTGCAAGGTCCACGCCGTACTCGCTCCAGAAGGCGCGTGAGCGGAGTGCGCTCTCCTTCACCGGCAAGCCTTCTTCTCCCCTGTCCCCCATCGTTTTCCCGGAAGGACGAAACCTCTACCTCTACGTACCCAAAAATATAAATAAAAATTAAATATTATTTATGAAAAATAAATAAATTTGAAAATTACAGAAACCCCCGTCCTCCTTGTTTCTCTAACATGCGCCATTTGCTACTCGCCACCACCACCACCATCATGCCCTCCTCCTCCTTCTCTGCCGCTGCCACGTCATCCTCCTCCTCCTATCCAACCCCCAAACCCAAATCCTCAAACCCTAACCCTAACTCAAACCCTAATTGCACCCTCCTCTGCAAGCACTCGCCGTCGGCCACCCTCGACCTCCTCATCCTCATCCTCGTCCTCTTCTCCGGGACCTTCCTCATCACCTCCTACTTTTCCTACATCTTCAACTCCCTCTCGCTCCTCCTCTCTCACTCCACCCTCCACCTCCACCACATTCCCGTCCCCTACGTCGTCGGCTTCGTCGCCTTCTTCGCCGCCACGCTGTTCGTAGTCGAGTTCTGCTGCGGCATTCGATCCAGGAAGTGCGATAGGCCCGGATGTAAGGGCTTGAAGAAGGCCATGGAATTCGATTTGCAATTGCAATCGGAGGAGTGTGTCAAGTCCGGGTCTAAAGATATCGATAGGCTGCCGTGGAAGGGCGGCAGCGAGGGCAATCCTGATTACGAGTGCCTCAGGACTGAGCTGAGGCGGATGGCGCCGACGAATGGCCGTGCCGTGCTGCTGTTTCGGGCGCGATGCGGATGCCCGGTGGCCAAGCTCGAAGGCTGGGGTCCCAAGAGAGGACGCCGGCATAAAAAGTGAGTGTCTTTCTCTTTTCATGTCTGCATTTTCTTGATTATTTGATTAGATGGAAATTAATTGGATTGAGTAAATGTTGTTTGTATTGATCTGTGTAAGTTACAATTTTGTGTGGAACTTATTGGAAGCTATGAATTGAACAATTGGACTTCAAAGGGGTTGATTAAATTTACAGAAATTTGCAAGTAATCTTTGATGGGTACTGGAAGGTTTATTGAATTCCTTGAGGCTGAAGAGGTAGAGCTTGGATCATATGAACTTCCGTTAGACTTAGGTTTGACCAAGATCGATATCTCTTATATGCACTCTTCAAGCAATCAGATGATCCCTGTAGAAGAGGAGAAGCATAGGTGATGGCATCAAGTCGATACTGTAGAAGGTAGGCACCAGGGGTTTTGGGGAAATGAGACCCTTTTGGTTTGACCTTTCGTACTTTGCCCCACCTAAAAAATTATGTGTACCTAATATGTCTTTTCACTTTGTATCCCTGGCTAGATCCGTTAGGTGGCTGTGCCGTATTTCATCTGGCATTTTTGAACATTGTAGGCTAGAATAATGTTTTGTTTGCTCAGTGGAGCCTGAGTAATCTGGAGTTTAATGGTAAATACTGTATATATGTTATCGGTTGGACAAACATCTTAGGTAGTGCACCAATAGAATTATGATTGAGTTCAGATTGATCTGTGTAAATGGCATGTACATCTGTTAGTCATATAGGAGAGTACTCCCAATAGAGATAAGCAAGCTAGGTTAGTTCGAGTATGGTATGGACATGGCCTGTTTCAAAAAGTTTGGCATGATAATGCCCTAAACAAGTAAAGAACTGAAAATAACTTTAATGAAAATAACCGAAAAAATGAGGTCCTGAAGAAGTGTAGAAAAATATGGCAGGATTAGGCACCACACTAATATGATGCATGAGCATGGCACGATTAAGTTGCCCTAAGTACCAAAGGAAGCACAGATGGAAGGATTTTAATGACAGCCCCATTTTACACCTCTACTCCAGAAGCATTAGGGAGAGAATTTGTTTGGGTCTTTAAGGTCCATAACCCAGACATCAACCTCAGTGGTATACATGATAGATTACTATAGGATTTCTGTGGAAAGCTTTTAATCAGAATATGAAAAAAGGCAGGATGAACATCAATGTAATGGTAGCAGTGAGTATATTCTGAAGTGCTAAATGCATGAAAACTACGGTATAATTTGGGGTGTATGCCATGAATGATCATTTCCCGAGTAACTGAGAATGGTTACTGAAAAGTGTTAGCTTCAGCACCATGGTTGACAATGTGGAATAAATCATGATTTGATAAGAATTTTCTCCACAAAATAAGTATATGCACAAACTTGAGTCCTCAACATAAACTGATAGGATGATCTGATGATATGCTGGGGCATATACCCAGTCATTTTAGGTTCTAGATCTATCTGACCAGCCATTTGTATTGTTCCAGAAGGTGACCCCTCATAAGAGGCATTCATGGATATATTTTCTGTTTGCGGGAGAGATTAGTTTGGCTCTTTATATAGCGCCGTACCTACAATGCACATGAGAGCAGGAGTGGTTGTCCGGGCAATACAGAGAAAGCAACAATATAGTTTAGGAAGACCTGTAAGCAGTTACGGTTCACTTTGTCCTCATTCAGTGTTGGTCCAGTTTAACAGCATCCCCTTTTGGGCTGCATTTCTGGTACCGATAGATCTGGCAGTTACGTACGACTCTGCTGATTTGGTTTTACCTATGGCACGTGTTTCTTATAAATATAATTGAAAATATAATATGTATCTTGATTTGGCTTTAGTTATTTGCAGCTTGTCTTACCTTGTTAGAAGACAATGCCCTCAGTAGGTTTCAATATACTTTGTTGGGTGCACTATCATATGCTTTGTAGGTGAACTTACTGCTTTGTAGGCTGGCAAGTTTTGTGTCGTAACGATTGTACGACTCTGTCAAACCCTGAAAGTGGTATTGAGCAATTACTTAGAATTGTAAACCATGCAAGTTTTATACTTATCTAGTCTCTTTGGTCTTGCAGGGCTCTGGCCAGCATGGCTCTTAATGGAGGAGATCATCGTTGATTGTTAAGGATGCTTTCACCACCGGAGTTCCGATTACATGTTCGATCATTTACCTGTTAAATTATAGACGTTATTCTTGGCTTCACTCTCAATCAAAACAATTCTTTTTCATTAATCATATACTCCGGTGGCGCATTTATATGTAGAGTCTGTAGACGAGCATCTTCTCGAGCGATTGTCTCTCGTATGTGGAAGGGCGTAACAAATTGAGTGAGAACAAATATATCAAATGTCAATTGGATATTTTGTGTGCCTAACTAATGGGTTTGAACTTCTATACCCCATCAATACCCTTTTAGAACTGAGTTGTGGTAAAGCTATGTACTCTTACCAAACGGGGGAATTGATGAATCGCTATGGATGAAAGAACTTGTTCTCAAAATTGATGATTTTTATTTTTTATTTTTTTGAGTACATTGATATTTTTACATTAAGGGAATGAGAAGTTCGGTTAAGCTACATAAAGGGCAATCTAATTTGGTATTGAATTCGCCATCTACGAGATTGGAACCTAAAACCTCTTACTTCTAAGTGAAGAGGTACCACCAAATTATAGTACTGAGTGATACTAGCTGTTCGAGTTTAATAACAAATTATTCGTTATATGACTTCCTAATTTATTGGGCGAACTATTTAAAGTTAGCTTGGGTCCAAATTTACTTCCTTTTCAATTGGTTTTGCTTCGGAGGCAGATTGTCGGCCCTCTCATTACCATGCCCTTCCCATCCCCTTTTATATTGTCGGTCACGGTTAAGCCACGTTAACATTTTATATTATTTTTTTATAGAGATAATAAGACGTGTTAACATGGTTTAATCGTGATTGCACAAATAAGAGGGGATGGAAAGGGCATGGTAAAAGAAGGGCAGACAATCTGCCTCCTTTTGGAAAAATTTTTAGGTGTACCGGGTACACCAAATTTTTTTGGTGTACCCTCACTCATTAGAATTTTTTTGGTGTACAAAAAGTGAGGGTGCACCAAATTTTTTTGGTGCACCCTCACCATTATGAGTGAGGGTACACCAAAAAAATTTGGTGTGCCGGGTACACCGAAAAATTACTCCTCCTTTTGCTTCATCACATTTAGGGCTGGTTTGGTATTTCTATGCTTTGAAGAAAAAAAGTGCTTCTGCTGTGCTGTGAGAATAAGTTCATTTTTGTTGCTTCGTGTTTTCAGTTTTTTTTTTTCACCAAAACCTATGAAAATAAGTTATTTTTAAATGTTTACCAAATACTTTTTTGAGCTCAGTTTTTTTTTTACCCACTTTTTATAAAAATCCCAGTACCAAACCAATCCTTACTCTCACCTTGTCAAGTTCTCTGCTTGAATTCACTTCCCTTACAAAAGCGTCTCATGCTTTCGTCGGATGCTCGTATCTCTGAGACCCAAATCGTTCCCTGGACTTCCAGACCTTCGCATTTCAGGTCTCAAATGGCTCTCCACTGCCGCCGCCGCCACCCAAAATCCAGAGGACAATCTCCGTTCCTTCTTCACCGGCAGAATGAACCCAACCCAAATCGACTACAAGCTCTCTGGTTTCGGCTTTAAAGTCTCGCTCTTCCCTCGCGGCCTCCTTCCAAGCCAGCAAATCCACTGCCTTGTTCTCAAAGCCGGGCTCGACTCCAACAATTTCATCAGGAACAGCTTGATTAATACGCATGCCAAATGCGGCTTCATTGCCGATGCCGAGTTGCTGTTCGATTCTTGATATAAGTTAGACTCCGGTGTCTTGCAATATTATGGTTGCTGGGTATGTCAAATCGAGTCGTTTGGAGAGTGCACGCCAGGTGTTTGAGAAAATGCCGAAAAAGGGTTGTGTCTCGTACACTACTATGATAATGGGTCTTGCCCAGGATGAGCGTTGGACCGAAGCCGTTGAGGTTTTCAGGGATATGAGGTCAGCGGTTGTGATCCCAAATGAGGTGACAATGGCGACTGTTATCTCAACTTACTCACATTTGGGCGGTGTTTGGAATTGTCGAATGCTTCACGCTTTGGTGATTAGGTTGCAGCTTGAGGGGTTTGTTCTTGTCTCTACGAATTTGCTGCACATGTATTGGGGTTGTTCGAGTTTATGTGATGCGAGAAATTTGTTTAATGAGATGCCTGAAGAGAATATAGTTTCGTGGATTGTTTGACAAGATTCATGCAAAGGATGTGGTTTCATGGGGTACAATGGGTATGTGCAAGTAGAGTGGTTGAGTGAAGCTTTGATGATTCATCGGGCAATGCTGCGTACTGGGTTAGGGGCGAATGATGTTATGCTTGTAGATTTGATTTCGGCTTGTGGCCGGTCTAAGGCAGTACATGAAGGTCAGCAACTTCATGGGACAATTGTAAAGGAAGGTTTTGACTGCGATGACTTTACACAGGCAATAATCACCAATTTTAATGCAGGCTGTGGCGACATGAGCCCTGCTCATCATCAGTTTCAAAAGGGCATCAAGGAGCATGTTGCATCTTGGATGCCCTCATTGCAGGATACGTAAGAAATGGAATGATCAACCAGGCAATTGCATTGTTTAATGAGATGCCTGAAAAAGACGTTTTTTCATGGAGTTCCATGATTTCTGGTTATGCACCAGAGTGATAAACCTGAATTAGCTCTAGAACTCCTTCAAAGAATGGTAGCTAGTGGGATCCGACCGAATGAAATTACAATGGTGAGTATGTTATCTGGCATTGCTTCATTAGGCACATTGAAAGAGGCAAGATGGGCACTCGAATATATAGTTGAAAACTCCATTCCTCTCAATGACAATCTAAGTGCAGCACTCATTGATATGTATGCCAAATGTGGGAGTATCAATACCGCCTTTGAGGTGTTCTATCAAATCCGAGATAAAACCTCTACAGTCTCACCATGGAATGCCATCATATGTGGGTCGGCCATGTACGGACATGCAAAGTTATCTCTTGAAATATTTTCAGATTTGCAAAAGTGTAATATCAAACTCAATTCAATCACATTCATCAGAGTCCTAAGTGCATGTTGCCACGCTGGCTTCATGGAGGCGGGGGGGAGGTACTTTAAGAGCATGAAGAATGTTTACAATGTAGAATCAAATATCAAGCATTATGGTTGTATGGTGGATCTCCTTGGAAGAGCTGGTCAAGTAGAAGATGCTGAGAAAATGATAAGGAGCATGCCATGAAGGCTGATGTAGTCATATGGGGCACGCTGTTGGCGGCATGTGGAACACATGGGAATCTGGAAAGAGGAGAAATGGCTGCAGAGAGTTTGACAAGGTTGCAACCATCTCATGGGCCAGTTAGAGTTCACCTATCCAATTTATACGCGGATGCAGGGGGAAGTGGGAAAAAGCCTTTTTCCGAGCGGCGAGCAATACAGAGCCTAAAACTGGAGAGATCATCGGGGCACAGTGATGTTGAATAATAAGGGTGCTGGGGTTTTAGAACATTCAAAGTTTTCGTCGATGAGTTTTCGGCAAGCAGTTGCAGTCGCTTTACCAAAGCTTCCCAGTGTTTAAGCCTGAGAATGTGGCAGAAAACTATCAAGCATTTATCCCCCATACAAAAAAACGTTTCTGAGGGTAAAATGATTACGTGCATTGCAAGGCAACATGCATGTTTCGTTTCGCCAAGTTAAGAATCTTGGAAGCCAATACAGTTTGCAGAAACTGCGCAATTAACGCAATGGCCATCACAGTGTTCCGACTCGGCAGTCTCTCATATTGTTCATTCCTCTCCTCATGATGATTTTCGAGACCATCTATGTCCATGTCTTGGGATTTAGTTGGCCATACGGACTTCTTTTCCGGAACAAGTTCCAGTAATCCCTCATCGTCTAACGATGAATCAAGCAACTGCCACACGGTTGAGAAGATGAACGCAACCACAGTAGTACCAGCTTCACTTGTTTGCAACCCAAATATCTGGGACAAGTTAAGAATTGTATCTATTGATTTCATAACCCTGAATGAGGAAGATAAGTTATACATTGCAAACAAAAATAATATACACCAAGTGCTGGTTCGGAAGTGATTCTGGGAAGGCTAGAATTACTTATATCAGACAATGTAAAAGGTAATATTTTTCGTATACAATACGATCTTTAACCAAAACAGACCTGGAAGAAACTAGAAACTTACTGTTGATGATTAGGCCGCGTAAGATTTCAGTGAAAAAACATGTCTCATGAGGAGCTCCATGTCAGTATGTTTTGTTATATTGACCATTCGATCTTTAACCAAAACAGACCTGGAAGAAAGCAAAGCCAGAACAAGATGGAGGGCACCATGTTCAAAACCAATAATCGGCACATTGTTCTCCCAACAAATATGCGACACCAACACGCCGGCGAGCTCCATAGATAGCAGGGACACCCCGGCAGAGCTCAAATTCGATGAGACTTCCATCGACCGGAGAAGAGGATCACTACCATTTTCTTGAGCTTCCTTGGTCTGCATTATCAAAGCGTCCCAGAGGCTGCTCTGTTTGGGCTCCGCCATTTCTCGATCACAATGGCCAGTGTTTCGGGCTGTTTCCGGTGAGTGAGAGAGAGAGAGAGAGAGAGAGAGAGAGAGAGAGAGAGAGAGAGAGATTTCGGATGGTGCAGAATCAGAACAACGTTGAAGGATTGTCTCTTGGTTTTGCTTCTCCTTCTGTGACAGTGCATGATGTGCATGTGTGCTTTTTTGGTCGTGAAACTGAAGCGATACGATCTGTCAAACTGGCTGTGAGATTGCCACTTGGAATTTGGATTCAATCTTGTTGAGGAAAAAAATTGAGAATTTAGAACAATTTTGTACAGATCTTTAAGTTCAGTTAAACTGATTCATTTTTCTTGTCTCTAGGGATGGCCAACATGTTGGTACATTTTGTTAATTAAAAGTTGAAATATTGTCAACACATTGTCGATGACGTACTCAATAAACGTATGTTCCTTATCCGGATTATACAACTCATATTGGGTTTAAAGGGTTAAGTGTTTGGAGCTTATTGCAAAACCAACAAATATGCTACAAACTCTCTTAATACAGTTAGGTCCTACATACAATGCTGAGATCCGATTGACTATTTGATTCAAAATGCTACGAAATGCTGCAAATGTTTCCGGCGATAAATCTAATCTAAAACCATTTTTAACATGTACATCCGACCTCCTAAAACCTTAAAGCTGTGCTGAGGAAATAGAGTCTACATCTCATTTTCGACTATGAGCTCAGCGGCCGCTCCCATTGTACCGACGCCTCCAATCCCCAGCAAGGCCAGAGCAAGCTCTTCCTCACCCCACTGCCTCAGACCGTTACTCAGTCTCCTCAACACGTCTACATCCACCTCGAGCACCCAATTAGGCGTGCAACTCACCATTAGCGTTACAAACCCCGAGACATAGGCACGCCATGTTGCTGAATCACAACCAAGTGATATCTTCCCATCAAGTGCACTTGCAAGAAACTCCATGTGGATACGTAGGACTTTAGGACGTCGTTTTGATGCTGATGATGACGAGTCAACGCCCCACGCAAAGGCTCCACCAAGCACTGCAAAGTATGCCAGTGCATAGCCGCCAAGCATTGCAACAATTCCTTCTGACCCTTGTTCCTGCTCGGAGCCATGCATAGATATAAACCAAGAAGGCAAGGTTTCTGTGATCAATGACTGAACCAGACACAAGCCTCCTGTCAACCATACTAAAGATGCCCCGAGTGAAGCTGCTAGTTTCACCCGAGACATTGCTGCATCAAGTGAAACCTGTTCATATCTCATTGCGTTTCTTCTTGTCTCCAACTTCTCCAATCTTTCTTTAGGACAAGCACGGCATGCTATCTCTCGTACAGAATGCATCAAGATAGTAACAATCTCTTCTGTCATGAAGACAATATCTGTAATCGATCTGTAAACGCGTAGGTAAAGGATCCCTGGTGCAACGGGGGAAATCACACCACAGAAATGGGATCCAAATCCATGGCCAAGAAGTGCGCCAACACCACCATTGCTTGAGATAGGAGTGGCATTCAGGCCAAGTGTGGCAGTAAAGCAGCTTTTAAGAAGCTGGACCATTGAATCCCTGTTCTGGAGGAAAACAGTCCGAGAGGCAGAAAAAACAAGGAAGTCGCTCCATCGCTTGGCCTTTTGAGTCCAAAGCGATGCGACAATTGGCATACAAGGCCAGGGGCAACCAGCTGCAAGGCACTCCAAGGTGGGGCCAGCCAAACTGAGGAAGCGTTCTGATGCTCGGTCAATCTTGTAAGTAATAGTAAGACTCACGAAGGCAGCTAGGGGCAGTGGAAGTGTAGCTGGCGAGCTTCCACCTGCAATAGTTAAGTCTCAGTCAAAATATTAGAGGTGACGACATTACAAAACTAGCTCCACAGCATGGGGAAAATGGAAAACGAAATCACTCCCAAAACAATGTAATAGCTCATCTCATTATAAGTTCGTAAGAGGAGAAAACCTGCAGCAAGGCTAGGGATATGAACACCGGTAGCAGCTAGAATTTTTTTGATCTGTTCCTCAACATAAGATAGATTCACAGCCGGACTGGGCCAATCTGTTCCATTCATAAAAACTGGTTTCCAAATACCCCGAGTTACCTCGGCAGAAAAGTAGCTCACAATGGTCGCCAAAGATGCCGGAAGAAAATCTACTAAATCCTTAAGCCCTGAAATAGTGCAAACTCTTCAGTCATTTAAACTCAAGTTCCATAGTTCGCTAAATTTTAGCCATTAGTTTTAAGAAAAGTCAAAAACTAATTCATATATTTTCCGGAGTATCGGTGTATGTAAATAACAAAACATCAACAGAAAATGAGATGAGAAAACAAGGCTAACCTGTAGCCAGCTCACGAGGAGAAAGTTTTCCATGAGCACAGGCTGTTAGAGCAGCATCAACCACAAAGGGAACAGCTTCCAGGATATCCCAGGCTGGCAATTTAGGTCTTAGAGAGCTGTCTTCATTTCCAGGTCCCGAAGAACTACTACTTGGAGAATTGACAGAAGCCAAAGACTGGCTTCCACGATTAATCTTTGTGAACATCATGTTAAGAAGCCCATCAACAATCTGATGGACGGGTGTTCCATGAACAAGACCAGAGAGGGTTGAGGCTATACATGCTTGATGCTGCCGATACCAAACTTTTAATTTTGGAAACGAGTCCACAAATACGGGTTCTGGAGATGAAGAACTTGCAACAGCAGAGAGTCTCCTCTTATTTCGATCCTGGTAAGCACTCCCGGAAGATACTAGGTAAGAATTTCTCACTGACAGGAGGTACTCAGGGTGTAAGTCGGGAAGCAACTGTGGGTACATCTCCCACCCCATGCTCAAGAGGAGGATGATTAAACCTCCACAGCTTCAAAAGGAGAGTAAATGCATTCGAAAACACAGCATGAGCAGAGATTTCTTCTCCTGTTGTTAGAATCCAGGAGACATTGGGAACACATGAACCAAACACCTCACAAATCGGCATCAATGAACACGCAAGTTGTGGAACCTGGTAAGAAAATTAGATGACATTAGTTTACAGCTGATGTGAGGGTCTCGTTACTAACACAAACATGGCACATCAAATTCAAATGCTATACATACCAAGCCATGTAAAGAGAAAATCTGAACGCAGTCAACAGATCCTATTCCAACAATGAGGACATTCAGCATCGGTGCATAACCTATTAAATGGCTGTCATCCCCAGAATAATTAGCGGGAACCGGAGGGGACAGTAATCTAATGATAAAATGAGCAGTATGTTCCTGCATTACATGTGAACCATAAGTTATTAGAAAGTTGAGTGATTCGTAGGAAATGGCAAGAACTCTTAGTATTCAAACACGCAACTGTGAAAAAGCTACTGCATTGTGGGCAAAGGATTCAAAATATATATCAAGCATAACAATATTGTTTTTCACCTGTATATTCCATCCTCTAATTAATGAGGCGCCGCACAAAACGGTAGCAGCAGAAATCGTCTCAGCATTGGATCCATTGACTGCAACCTCAAATACTTTCTCGAGTTCTGCTAAGCTTCCATCAAATCCATGAGCTTAATTCAGTAGCTTTACCTTTGGGTAAGTTTACAAAAAAGAGCATCTGATAGACCTGGCTTCAGGAAAGAAAAAGGAGTAACTGAAGACCAGGCCATAGTCAAAGAAGTTTAAAAAGGTAATCTAAAGGTCATCTATCCATACAGAGTTCCCCTTTTAATAGTTTGCGCACTATACCGCTACTTAGACATAGGAATCATAACGCCAGTGGCCAAAGGTATCCATGTACGACATCAGTCAGATTATTAGATTCTTAAACTCCTGTGAACCAAATGCAAACCCGTTTAAAACCTCCATCCTAGTTAGTGCATTTAAGCGTGAACAGAAAAACCGATAACTTAGAAATCATCTATTGATGCGCCTTCAGAAAGTCGCAATCCAATTTAACGAATCAATTTTACCAGAGAGAGAAAAAAAAACTGCCTTTCCTCTTATTTGACTTATGTAGCATAGGAACAGCGGTTTCAAGCCCCAGAAAAGCAGCAAGGAACTAATCCTTGTAAGGAATTACTCATTGGCGTATAACGATGAAAAATTGTGGAAATGAAGTCCTAACCACTTAATTACAACATGAATTACTAAATGTAACATATTTAAAATGTTAAAGCTAGTATACCTTGAAGCAGGACTGGAAACCAAAGCATTAGCCATTGCTGGAGTAAGCGTAGCCCCCAACATAAACGACGACCAATCAGGCCCTTGCGTTGGCATGCCATGAGGTAACTGGTTGATGCATCCGTTAATATAACCTGGCCACGAATATGCAGAAGTGTCCAGTAGATTTCTAGCAATACAGGACTCAACTATCAAATGACGCATGTTTCCAGCTGTAAACAAATACAAAAACCTAAGATTAGAATACAAAACTAAAACATAGAAACAGGAACAACATCGGAAAATAAAATAAGACTGAAATGAAAAACTCAACAAGAAAAAGAATACGAGACCGCAACAACCATGGACAACAACGTGCAACACAGTTCTAAGAGTTTTTATGTAGAGCAGTAGACATTGAAAAAATGATAAGAAACTTTGTAGTGAACCGTGTCGCCATGCTCCAAACAGCCTTTCATTTTATTTTTCTGCTGCTTCCAACTCTTTATAACAAGATACTCACAAAGTATTTTCATGTTGAAGTGACTTGTTGACATTGAATTAGAGCTAGATATTACTCACAGAAGTTTATAGGCATGTTTTTCGTACTGACGCACTCAAAGTAAGCACTCCCAACAGTGACACCTGAAAGGAACAGCATTGCTTTTGCAGCAGCCTGATTGGCAGCGGAAACAACACACTGCGGTGGAGTCAGCAAACCCTGATAATCACCCAGTGTCTGTAAGCTGGAGACTAAATCATTGCAGCGCTGTCTTGGAACCTCTTTTTCTTTCCAGCCATTGATTGAGCCACATTCATTTTTGTTGGTTGGTGCAATTTCCTCCTCCTCAATCAGATCAGCAACCACAAGCGTAGTGATACTCAATAGCATGCATAAGCGAGTGTCTAGGCGAGGCACAGGACCCTCTATGGGATACCTTTCCTACAGGAATTAAAAATAAAAAATAAAAAATAAACAAAACAAAACTATAAACAAGAAGCCATAGCTAATATAATATTTAGAAAATTGAGTAAATCTGGTGCTAATTCTAAACATAGAGTAAATTCTAACAGCAACAGCTTAAGATTTTTTTAGAGAAATGGTAAACCAACTTATTCATCCATGGTGTCATAGCAGAGCTGCAGAAGGTTCTGTGTTAAAATCCCTACAACTGGAACCTCCCAATTTATGTTGAATTTCATAGGTTGGACTTTCTAACG